CACCAGCCAGCGGAGCTCCTGAGCAGCCATGGCCCCAGCGTAGATCTTTCCCTCACAATTGGAATGAGCTACAGATGACGACCTGGTGGACCTCCATGAGACTGCACCAACACCAAGACCACAACAGTATCCCTGTGAAGACATGGGCCTCCCCAAGTCGTCAGCCCACGACGCGTCTATGCGCCCAGTGAGCACCACTAGCTCCGGTCCTCCTAGTACGAACCCCAGTCCTAATGTACTTGCCAGATACCGCAACACCCTCTTGGCAGCCGACTAGTGGACTGGTCGGTGCCTGCCTGTTGCAACAAAGGATACTGAGAGGGTACGCTAGATATGGTCGACTGCATGTCATCGGGTATATGAGGCACCCCACCAGCTCTGCATATGGACCACTGGTCTCAGTCGGATTAGTTGAAACAGGAGCAGAACAGGAGCAAAGAGCTTTTGATCCACAGGCAGAGGGATGGGTTGTGCTGAGGAGAACTGGAGACTGAACCTCTGAAGGATCTGCTGCACCATGTGGGACTGGAGAGAGTGACACTACGGGCAGCATGGTCACGAGAGATCTCCAAGCCCAGATAGCACCGCAGCTCTCCTAGGTCTTTGTAGGTGTGTCTCCTAAGTAACTTGGCCTCTACTGAGGCCAGTGCGTCTAGGTCAGGAGTAGCAACGATGAGATCGTCTACGTACACCACTATATAGAACGGAGTCTAACCGATACGGACAAAAAACGAGGGGTCAGCAGAGGACGGGAAGTACTGGAGAGTAGCAAGTATAGTGCGGAGCATGTCGTGCCAATCACGGGGTGCGTGAAGTAGACTATAGACACGGCGGCGCAGGCTCCATTAGGTTCCAAGCGGGAAGGACCCAGAGAAGCCTAGTGGGCACCGGAGGTAGATCTGGTCGTGCAGACTACCCTGCAGGAAGGCTGTGAAGAAGTTTAGTGAGTGGAGCTTGTAGTCACGTTGCGCGGCTACGTGAAGGAGCACCCAAAGAGTAGTCATATTTGGGGTAGGGGAGAAGGTATGGAAGAAGTCCACACTCTCCCGCTGACTGAAGCCTCTAGCCACATAGCGCACCTTGAACTTCAGCGGCTCTCAATTTGCGCAATTTTACCGTATAGATCCACATGCACTGCAGCTGCTACTGCTCCCTGTCCTCTCCGGGACCTCTAGCCCCACCTCGGCTACCACCATTCGTGCTCTCTGAAATAGCACCCCCAGGACTAGCATGCCCTGATGCACCACCTATAGAACCAGCACCCATAGAACCAGCACCCCCAGAGTCAGCACCCCAAGATGTGGAACGCAAAGGCGTCACCACAAGACCTGGTCCAGAGAAGGGTCGGCGAAACCTGTGGGCCCAGGGAGCGTGGCCATAGGTTAAGTTGGTGAGCTGCGTAGCGCACTGCAAATTGCCACAGAAAATGGGTTGCATCGGCGTGAACCAAAGAGGTGCGAGCTACCTCCATGACTAAGCCAATGCGTCGCTCAGCAACCTTATTCTGCGGTGGGGAGTCCAGCAGTGTGTACGTCCAGTGGATGTTCTCCACACGACAGAACTAACATAGATGGCCGGAGGCGAACTCGCCACGACGGTCAGAGTGCAGACGGACCACGGCAGGCGGTGCTGGGTGCGAGCAGCGAGCAGCCATGGGATGAGATCATCAGGCACGTCAGCCTTCTGCTCAACTGGGAACACCATGGTGAAGCACATGAAGTCGTCAACAACAACGAGGAGGAAGCGCTCCTTGCTAAGACCATGGACCGCGGCAGGGCCCCGGACGTCCATGTGTATTGTCTGTAGCGGTATTCTAGTAGGAGGAAATGGAGAGGAGTGAGGAGCGGCGCGCTGCCGGCCCTCGACGCAGAAGGTGCACACGGGCGCTACCGATGCATGCTTGGCTGGGAGCGACATAAGAAGACCAGTGAATAGAACATGCTGGGACATGTGCCTAAGACGCGGGAGTGCAGGGTGACCCAAACAGTGGTGCCACAGAAGGGTTGGGTGGGTGAGGGAGCCACATGAGCACAACACGGCTACCTCAGCGGACGCAATAACTGGTGGGGACTCTGTGTTCAGTGTGAAGATATTAGATGTGGGGTTATGCTCAAAAATGGCTGGAGGGGCGCCCATGGCTGTGTCCGCACAGGCTGCGTGTCTCGCGTAGCCAGAAAACATGGTGGCAACTCCTCGGTCTTGGATGTGACCGACACCAACTAGGTTCCTGGCAAATGTAAGGATGTGCAGATCTGTCAGGGAGACAGAGGGGACAGCTGGACAGGGGAGAGCACTGGTGCTGCGTGCGATTACTGAGGCGGGGAAGTCTGCTAGGGAGATTTGGACCGGTGCAGGAAGTGGGGTGAGAGCAGTACTGTCTCGAAAGAAGTAGTGAGACGAGCCAGATTCAAGTGTGAAGGAGAGAGCTGCTGTAGGAGGGGCAGGGGTGGAGCCTTGGGGATACGTAGTAGAGGCTCCTAGACTAGATACAGTAGTGGGACCTAGACCCCCAAGCCCCCCGGCTCCCGGTTCTCCAGAGAAACCGCGCTGGCCCCAAGGCAAAGAACGCCCACCAAGGTTGCCATGCTGAGAGGAGCGGCATCGAGGAATTGTAGAGACGATGAGGAGACTAGCGGGAGGCGCTAAGGCGTGTAGAAGCTCTAACGGAAGTAGCAGCAGTGGCGGTTGTGGCCGGATCGGCTGTCTGGCAGTGGCGGCTAGCGGCAGACTAGTGGCAGCGAGTAGCGAGTGACAGTAAGGCGGCAGTGGCGGCTAGCTGGCGGCGGGCTGGTAGCTAGAGGCGGCAAACTAGGAGCGAGCTGGCAAGCTGGCAGCAAGCTGGCGAGCTAACGTGCTGGCGAACCGGCAACAGTGGGCAGTGAGGTGGCGCGCAGGTCGCGATTTGGCGAACGAGTGAGCGAGCGAAGAGGCTGGCAAGCTGATGAGTGGGCTAGCTGACAAGCTGGTGCTGGCGGCTAGCTGGCAGGCCCTGCGGGCGGCGAGCTAGCCAGGGCTGCTGACGGCGAGCTGGCAGGCGCTGCTGGCGGCTAGCTGGCAAGTGCTGCTGGTGGCGAGCTGGCAGGCGCTGTTGGCAGCTAGCTGGCAGCAATCGAGTTGGCGTTGGCTAGCTGGCAGCGACGGTTGGCAGCAGCGGTTGGTGGGCAGCGGCGGCTGGCGGGGAGCGGCGGGTAGTGGTGAGTTGGCGGCGGCAAGCTGGCGGCGACGAGCTGTGAGCTGGCGGCGGCTCGCTGGCGGCTGGCAGTGGGTTGCTGGTGCTAGCAGCTAGCGCTGGCGGCGGGTGGCTAGCGTTATTGGCGGCGGCGGCTGGCACTGTTGGCAGGTAGCGGCTGGCGTTGGCAGACGGCGGCTAGCGCTGCTGGCAGGCGGCGGCTGGTGCTGGCTGCAGGCGCTGTCGGCGGGCGGCTAGCACTGCTAGCGCTGGTGGCTGGCGCTGGCTGCTAGCGCTGACGGCAGGCGGCTAGAGCTGCTGGCGGTGGCGGCTGGCGGCGGGCAGCCACCGCAGCTAGCGCTAGCGGCTGGTAGCCGGCTACTGGCACTGGCGGCGGTAGCTGGTGTTGGATGGCTGGCACTGGCTGGCTGGCGCTGGCTGGTTGACACTGGCTGGCTGGCGCTGGCTGACTGGTGCTGGTGCTGGCTGGCGCTCGTGGGCTGGCTCTGGCACTGGCTGGCATGGGCTGGCACTGGCTGGCGCGAGATAGCTAGTTGGTGCTGGCCGGCTGGCGCTGGCGAGCTGGCTGGCACTGGCTGGTGCGAACTATATGGCTGGCACTGGCGGGCTAGCGCTAGCACTGGTTGGCGCTAGCGAGCTGGCTGGCGCTGGCCATGCGGCGAGGAAGAGGGGGAGGGACGAGCGACGAGCGCTAGCTGGTGGCGTGAGAGAAGGGCTGGCTAGGATCTAGCGGGGGGGACGAGGACTAGGTACGATGTGAGGGGCAGAGCGCGTTAGGCTAGGGCTAGGGCATGTGCTAGGGCGAAAGCGTGGGGGGGATCCTAAACCTAGCTCTAGTCTAGATGCCAGATCAGTCGAGCGAGAGAAAAGTGACCAAGGGAATGTCAAGAGAGATACAACTGTGGGGTTGCACCCCCTAGGAACTGACCTAGGCAGGATATAACAAATACAGATACTAACTAGCTCATATACGTTCGTTGACAAAATTGTCGATCATGAAAGAAATTGACTTGCAATTATGGCACTGGATTTAACGGTAGAATTCACGGTGGCCTTGGGAGCTGCGTGGTGACGTCATCCTGATTTGTACAATATAATTGATTTTTCTGTCGTGGCACTGGGATAGCCCTGTCGAACCTCTTCTCTCTCTAGGGAGGGTACTAGGGAGGCTTTCCTCGAGGAAGGTGGATACATGGAGCCTAACTCTCCTGAGGACATCCCTTATTGTCCCAGTGGTTACGAATTGTGACTTATGACTTGGTATCAGAGTGATCCAGGTTTCAGTTCCTGGTGTACACGCTGTCCTAGCGGGGGGGTGTGTGGTGGCACTGGGATAGCCCAGTCGAACCTCTTCTCTCTCTAGGGAGGGTACTAGGGAGGCTTTCCCTGGGGAAGGTGGATATATGGAGCCTAACTCTCCTGAGGACATACCTTCTTGTCCCAATGGTTAGGACTGGTGACTTTATGACTATTTCATCTACATTGTACAATGTTGCTGGAATGACCAATCCGTTGTTAGTGTCTTAGGATAATGAATACAAGAAGTAATATGCTTACAGAGGGAGCGTGTAGTGATTACTGCCACGCCCTCACGCCCAGCCAGCCGCCCTTGCCCATCCGCCTACAGTTTTCCCCCAGATGAACATGCTGGCCGCAGAGAGCGCCGCTGCTCCTCCAGCCGAATCTGCTGCTCCCAATCTGTGCGCGGCCTGGTCTGGTGCCCTTTCTCCCCCATCCGCTCCGCCAAGCCTATCCATTGGCATGGCGGTGCCAGCCAGGCACCCTCCGCCACCGCACCCTTTAGTCCCCCACTGCGGATTGAGCCAATCCCCTGCTCCCTCTAGGTCAGCTCGTGAGTCGCTTGCGGGAAGGCGGTCTCGCTTCCTCCTAGCAGACACAGTTAAGTACTACTAAACCTCCACGTTACGGCGTTCCCTCGCGCAACTCTTTTCGGCCTTGCCGGCCAAGCGCCCTTAGCCACGCTGCTGGGCTAAGAAACTTTCTCCGCGTGAATTTCCATTTGTTGAAGAAAGCATTCCTGCCTGCCAGCGAGCGACGAGCCCAAGGTGCGTCCGACGTCTTGTGACCTGCTGAATCTGAAGTGTATAGCCCGACTCAGCCATGTGTGTATGTGTGTGTGTGTGTGTGTGTGTGTGGGGGAGGGGGGGGGGGGGGGGGGGGGGGGGGGGGGTGTGTGGTTGTGTGTGTGTGGGTGTGTGTGTGTGTGCTTATGTGATGGCACGAATTCCTGCCTCGTCCCGTGCCATTTAATTCCGCTCAATGCATTGCTGTTTTTACGCTGTTTTTGTCGCCGCACATCCAAGTTGGCAGCGTTTGCGTCCGTGTCGTTTCCGCGCATCCCGTACTCTCCCCTTCTTCCGGCGCTCCTCTTTTTACAGCTTAATCGCACCATTACCCGCATTTCCCGTACTTCCTAACCCTAATCTCCGACCCCCCTAGTCTTATCACGTCTGTCACTAGCCATTTCGTCTCCGCGTTAGTAATTCCTCTGTCCCGTGCCGCCCTGCTGCGTTCGTCCCACTCCCTTTCTTTCTCTTCGCGCCTTTAGGTTCGGATCGCCGCTACGCGCGTTCGTCGTCGAGACTCGCAGCGTCCGCGCTTTCCTGGGATTGCCGGTTGCTGCGTGGCGTAGGGTGAACCTGCTAGAAACTAGGGCTCACGATTCGCTTGCTCGGGTTAGAGTAGTTAGAGTAGGAGCGCGTGCCGTTCGACCCGCAAGAGCAAAAGCATTTGAACCGTTTGAGACCATCCACGTCAGCATGTCGCGCTCCTACGCGAATCTCCTCGACCTATCAGGGGACGCCCCGCTGTTCACGCGCCCAGTGGCGCGCGGAAGCAAGGGCAGCCTCACCCGCTCCGCCACGGCGACGGGGACCATTGCGGACGGCGGGCGCGCGGGCGCGGGCGCGGGGAGCCTGACGGGGCTGGGCGGGGGGGTGGATGAGGCGTCGAGCTCGGAGTCGGAGTCGCCGTCGAGCCTGGCGCAGGAGCGGCTCATCATCGTCGCCAACATGCTCCCGCTGCACGCCGAACGAGACGCCGCCACGCAGGTGCGCCGCGGGGAGGCGGTGGGAGGGGGAAGGGGAGGGGGGAGGAGGGGGAAGGGGGAAGGAGGGCGGGAGTGGGGAGGGGGTAGGGGGAGAGGGGGGGGGGGAGAGGGGGAAGGGGGAAGGGGGGGCGGAGATGGTGCGGGGTGAGGCGCAGGTGCGAGATGGGGAGACGCTGGCTGGGGAGGGAGAGAAGCGGGAGAAGGGGCGCGGGAGAAAGGGCGAAAAAGGATTAGATGGGGGCGGGATAGTGGATTAGAATGAAGGCGGAGTGAATATGGAAGGGGCATTGCGCGTGGATGGATGGGCAGTGGGAAAGGGGGATCATGAGGGGCGGGTGTGTGGTGAGTCATGCACAGCTCATGGTGGGAGGTATGGAAGAGAGGAGGGGCTAAGGAGGAAAGGGGAAAGGAGGAGGGAGGGAGGGAGGGAGGGATGGAGGGATGGAGGGATGGAGGGAGGGATGGAGGGATGGAGAAACGGTAACCATCGGCCGTTGTACTCGTTTGGGAGCAGTAGGAGCGTATTTGTTTGTGCCACAGTGAGAGGAGAAGTTCTGTTGGAGGTGTTCCGTCAACAGAGAGAGACGGTCGTGGTCTGTGAAATGCAAGGACACGCTGGGGACACAGCAGGCGCGAGGGAGAGAATCAAGGGGTTGGAATCTTGGAGAACGAGCAGGGGAAGGTAGTTAGGAAGGGAGGTAGTGGTTGTGATGGAGAGAGAGATGGGTAGGAACGAGGCAGAGTCGGGGTGCGAGAGCGGGCGAGAGCAGCTGCAGGAGAGGGAAAGGGAGGGAGTGAGGAAACGGGGACTTGGGTTTGGCGTGGGGGAGGGGGGAAAGTGATTGGTGGTTTGCGTATGCTGTCTCTGTGAGAGATGTAGCGCGTGTGTGTGTGTGTGTGCGTGTATAGGTGTGGGAAGAGGGTCCGTCCAAGAGGGAAGAGGAGGAGGAGGAGGAACCTGGGAGGGAGGGTGCAGTGCAGGGCAGGATGACGAGTACAAGATAGGAAGTCAGCCCCCGCGCGTACTGTTATGCACGTTATTCATGCCACGCCATGCCAGCCCATCCCATCCCGTCCACTGATGCGTGTGCGGTGTACGGTGTGACATGGACTATGACGGAGCAGGAGTGGGCGTTCAGGTGGGACGAGGACGCGCTGCTGCTGCAGATGAAGGACGGCATCACGGCGGGCAGCGATGATGACATGGAGATCATCTACATCGGCTCGCTCAAGGTGCCCTGCTCATGTACCCTCGCAGGCTTCACCACCCACCCAATGCCGCCCTATGCACTATTAGAAGCCCGTTCAACTAGAAGCCCTCTCAGCTTTCAAAGCTGAAAGTGGGCTGGTGTTTCCTTTTTTGAGGTGCCTGCTTGCTTAAAGCCCAGGTCCCAAATTGGTCACGCAAGCACCAAACTGGGCCCAGTTTGATGCTGACCGAGCTCGCGAACTACCCAAGAAAAAAAAAAAGCCAACCACCCCTTCGCCACAGTAAGAGGTAAAATCGAGGCTGGTATATCTACGGTGGAAATCAACTTTGCAAACTGGGCCCAGTTTGATTCGTGCAGTTTTCGCCGTTGGATCGGGCATGCCAAACCCAACTCCTGCTCTCCTAGGTTTCCAATCAACGGCTGTTTTTGTGCTTGCAATTTGGGATTCCATGTGCTCCTGCGTCTCAGCTGTCAGATCCGCGTTTGGCCCAACTTGAACTCCCCCAAATCAAACTGAACCCAGCTTGCATACGAAACGAAACCCAGCGCGGAGTAACAAAAACAATTTTTCGCACCCAATGCTTTTCTCCACCCGCCCAGCCCAAATTCTGCCCGTTGACTTGCGTGAGCTAATTTGGGATCTGGGCTTTAACTCGGGGGGAAGCAGCAGCGTGGGACTCAACCTTAGCGGAAGCCAGAGCATGGTGATGGTCTCTGGCATGCAAGAGCTGCTGCTCTTCTTTTCTTCACACTCTGGCGTGCTGTGCTGTACGTGTATGCGGGTATGTGGGTATGTGCATGTGTGGGCATGTGGGTATGTGGGCATGTGCATGTGTGGGCATATGCATGCGTGGGTCTGTGTGTGCATGTTTTTGCATGTATGTGTGGCATGTGCATGTGGCATCAGGTGGAGGTGGAGCCATCGGAGCAGGACAGGGTGGCGGCCACGCTCCTAGAGAACTTCAACTGCGTGCCCACCTTCCTGCCACTCGACCTCAAAACCAGGTCGCCCACTCACCTTCTCTTGCCTTGCCATGCCATCCCATAACACGCTGTGCTGCCTTCGCACATGCTGTGCCCCCCCTTCCCCTCCCCACCCCCCCCCCCCCGGCCCCTCCCCTTTCGCAAAGTCTTTCTCTCTCTCCCCCTCTCTCCCCCCCTCTCTTTCCCCTCCTGCTTCTTCCCACCCCCTTACCATCCTTTCCTCCTGCCCCGCTGTTTCTTTCCTCCTGACTGTTGGGACAACACCCAACTCCCTCACACTTGTCCGATGCGTGCTCTCCGCTCACCCCTCCCCTGCGCTTCCCTGCATGCCCCCCTTCTTGTTCTTGTTCTTGTTCCCCCTCCCTCTCTCGCCCCTCCTCCCCTTCCCCACCCCTCTCCCCCCCCCCTCCCCCTCAGATTCTACCACGGGTTCTGCAAGCAGCAGCTGTGGCCGCTGTTCCACTACCTGCTGCCCCTGGGCCCGTCGCATTCGTCGGGGCTGTTCGACCGTGAGCTGTGGCAGGCGTACGTGAGCGCGAACAAGATCTTCAGTGACAAGGTCATGGAGGTGATCAGCCCCGACGACGACTACGTGTGGGTGCACGACTACCACCTCATGGTGCTGCCCACGTTCCTCCGAAAGAGGTTTCACCGCGTTCGCCTCGGCTTCTTCCTGCACAGGTGCGTGCTCTGTGGGGATGTGTGTGTGGGTGGGTGGGTATGTGGGTGTGTGGGGTGGGTGTGTGTGTGGGTGGGTGGGTATGTGGGTGTGTGGGGTGGGTGTGTGGGTGGGTGGATGTGTGTGGGGGGGTGGGAGAGGGGTGGGGGGGGGAGTGTGTGTAACGGGGCTATGGCATGGGGAAAGGAACGGCTGTCGTCTTTCGTGGGTGTCCCTGGGAGGAATTGAAAGACGGCAGGCGTTTCCTCGCTGCTACTCGTCGCCCTGCTGTGCCTTGCTTCACCACTTCAACAGTGCCCCACTGCCCCATGCGTCGCAGTATTGCAGTGCGCACCACACCAGTGCCACCGCCATTTCTATAATCAGTGGGGTGCCTTGTCCCGCAAACCATACACACAACGCCCAAGAGTACCACTTTCCTTCGTGGCAAACCCCCCCTCTCCCCCCCCTCCCCCTCCCCCTCCCCCTTCCAACCAGCCTGTTACCCAGGGCCGAGATATTCGGCACGCTACCCGTGTGGGAGGAGACCCTTTCCCAACTTTCCTCCGCCTCCTCCCTCTCCTCTCCCTCCTTCTCCTCCTTCTCCTCCCTCTCCTCCCCCTCCGTCTCCTCCTTCTCCTCCTCCCCCTCCTTCTCCTCCCCCTCCTCCCCCTCCTTCTCCTCCCTCTCCTTCTCCTTCTCCTCCCTCTCCTCCCCTCCTTCTCCTCCCTCTCCTCCCGCTCCTTCTTCTCCCTCTCCTCCTCCTCCCTCTCCTCCCCCTCCTCCCCACCCCTCCATCCCCTCGTTCCCCCGGCCCTTATCCCCCCCCAGCCCGTTCCCCTCGTCCGAGATCTACCGCACGCTGCCGGTGCGCGACGAGATCCTGCGCGCGTTGCTGAACGCGGACCTCATCGGCTTCCACACCTTTGACTACGCGCGCCACTTCCTCTCGTGCTGCTCGCGCATGCTGGGCCTGGAGTACGAGTCCAAGCGCGGCCACATCGGGCTCGACTACTACGGCCGCACCGTGGGCATCAAGATCATGCCTGTGGGGATCCACATGGGGCGGTTGAATTCGGCGCTGAGTCTGGCGGACACGGAGTGGCGCGTGGGGGAGCTGAGGGCGCAGTTTGAGGGGCGGAAGATGGTGCTGGGGGTTGACGACATGGACCTCTTCAAGGGGATCGGTGGGGCATTGGGGGGGGATGGGGTGTTGGGGGAAGGGAAGGGAAGGGAAGGGAAGGGCAGGGCAGGGAAGGGGAGGGATGTGAAGGGGAGGGGTGGGGTGGGGGAAAGGAGGGATGTGGGGGGTGGGGGGATATGTGGAGTGGGGAGTGTGGGTGGGAGTATTGGGGAGTGGGGGCGTGGGGGTGTAGGGCGTTCGTGGTGGGCTGTGTGCGCTTCTTGTGCGTCTCCTCATCATTGTTATCCCAGTGTATCATCACGAAGCCCACCACTGTCCTCACCGTTGTGTCACCTCACGCCGCCCCCCCCTTCCCCCTTCCCCCTTTCCCCTTCCCCCTTTCCCCTTCCCCCTTCCACCTTCCCCCTTCCCCATTCCCCCACCCCTACAACCTCCTCAATCCCCCTTCCATGCCGTCCCCCTTTCCCTCCAATTACCGGCACCACCTCGTGCGTCTATCCCTCCCGCCCCCCCCTGGAGCACCTGGCACCCGTGGCAGCACTGAAACTGCTGGCCATGCAACACATGCTACTCTCCGTTCCCCCCCTTCGCTATTCCCCCTTCCCCTAAACCTCCTTAACCCCTTCCGTCCACAATCCCCCCCTCCGCTTCTCCCCTTCGCCCCCCCCCACCACCCTGGGTCACCTGGCTGGCACCTGTCTCTTCCTGGGGCACGTGTGGCAGCGCTGAAGATGCTGGCGATGGAGCAGCTGCTGCTTTCCATCTCCCCCCTTCCCCCTTCTCCTAACCTCCTCCTCAACCCCCCTTTCGTCCCCCTTCCCCGCCCCCCTCTCTCTCCCGCGGGCAGCGCTGAAGATGCTAGCGATGGAGCAGCTGCTGCGGCAGCACCCGGAGTGGGTGGGCAAGGTGGTGCTCGTGCAGATCGCCAACCCCGCCAGGGGGCGAGGGACCGAGGTGGAGCAGATGCAGAACGACATCTACTCCATCGTCAAGTACTGCTCTGCCGCACTGCACCCCCCCTCGCTTCCACTTCTCCTCCACTCCGCTCCTCCCTCTTTTTCCCCTTCTCCCCCTCTCCCCCTCACCCCCTCTCCCCCTCTCCCCCTCTCCCCCGATCTCACCCACCCACCCTGCTCCCTAGCCCTTTCCCTTTCTTTGTCCTTTCCATGCCTATGCTACTTCCCAGTTCCTCCTTCGCTTGTGTTATCTCTCGAACCCCACCGCCATGCGATACAGTGTCGTTTCCCATTTCCTATCCATGCACCCCACATCCTCGCACCCCACATCCTCCCACCCCACGTCCTCTCACCCCACGTCCTCTCACCATCACCATATCCTGCACCATCCGCTGTCCCCTCATACCTATACGCTTCACACTGCACTGTTCCCTCCATCCCTCCCACCGAAATCCCACCCGTTCCGTCCCTCCTCCCTCTATCCCCCTCTCCCCCCACCCCCCCAGGCGGGTGAACAGGGAGTTTGGGCGGGAGGGCTACGAGCCGGTGGTGCTGCTGGAGCGGCACGTGCCCATGTACGAGCGCGTGGCCTTCATGTCCCTGGCCGAGTGCCTCGTGGTCACGGCGGTGCGCGACGGCATGAACCTCACGCCCTACGAGTACATCGTCTGCCGCCATGGCGTCGACGCTGCTCAGGCCGCCTCTGCTGCTGCGTCCGCTGCGGCCCGCGCGTCCCCTGCTGCTGCGTCTGCTGCTGCTGCGCTTGGCCCGGGCGCTTCTGCTGCTAATGCGGCTGCTGCTGCTGGTGCTGCTGCTGGTGCTGCTGCTGGTGCTGGTACTGGTGCTGGCAGCAGTGTGGGAACGCATGAGGGGTCGGTAGCCAAGCCTCCTCTGCCCACTCACCGCTCCCACGGCCATTCATCTCTCGATCCTTCGGCCCAGGCTGCTGCGCCCGCTGCACCTGCTGCAGACGCAGGGGGGGATGAGACAAAGCGCACAGAGGCAGCAGCGGCAGGAGCAACAGGGGCAGGGGAAGCCGCGGACTCGACAGGGGCAGGCGCTGCTGGTGCAGTGGGAGGGGACGGGGCAGGTGCAGCACAGCCAGTAGCAGATTCCGCTGCAGCAGCAGGTGCGACCACCACTGCCACGCCAACCGCTGCAGGGGCTGCAGGATTAGCGGGGGGAGAAGCGGCAGGAGCAGCAGGGGCAGCAGTGGGGGCGGAGGGCGTTGGGCCTGTGGTGGCACCGTCGCCGTCGCTGCCGGCGATTATAACGAAGCGGGGCGGCGAGGCAGAGGGGCGGGTGAGGCGGCGCAGTGCCATTGTGGTGTCGGAGTTCATCGGGTGCTCGCCCTCGCTCAGCGGCGCCATCCGCATCAACCCCTGGAACGTGCAGGTGCGCATGTGCGTGTGGGTGGGTGCGTGGGGGTGGGTGCGTGTGCATGTATGCATGTATATGTGGTTGTGCATGTGTGCGTGCATGCATGTATGTGTGGGAGTGTGTGTCTGGGTGGGCCTTGAGGATTAACCCCTGGAACGTATATGCAGGTGTGTGTGTGTGTGTGCATGTGTGTGCGCACGCGTGTGTGTGGTCACACACACACGTGCTCACGTGGAGTAGGGAGCAATGCCCTTGTTTAAAATAGTGATGAACAGGGCTCTTTCATAGTAGCCCCCCCCTCCCTCAACCCCCCCCCCGTCTCCCTGTTCTCCCCCTCCACCCCCACGCCTCGCCCTTCCCCCCTCCCCATCCACCCTTCACCCTCCCGTTTCCCCCCACCCCCACCCCCCTACGCCCAACCCCACCCCCACCCCCTTTTCCCCCGCCAACAGCCGGTGGCGGATGGTGAACAGTGCGCTGACAATGGGGGAGAGCAGGAGATGATTGAGTCGTCTAGAAAATCCCCCCTCCCCTCCCCCTCCCCGTCCCCCTCCCCCTCCCCCTCTTTCCCCCACCCCCAGGCGGTGGCGGACGCAGTGAACAGCGCGTTGACGATGGGGGAGAGCGAGCAGGAGATGCGGCACGACAAGCACTACAAGTATGTGCGCGACCACCACGTGGGCTACTGGGCGCACTCCTTCGTCACCGACCTGCAGCGCACCTGCAGGTGAGCCGCCCGTGGGGGGGTGTGTGGTGGTGGCTGGGTTCCCTGGGAGCAAGCGGAGAGGGCGGAGGGGGAGTGGGGTGTTTGGGAGAAGGATGGCGGTTAGGGGGGGACGTTGAGGGTTGAGGCATGTGCAGTTTGTTTAGCATACTGGGAGCATGCATGTGCGAGGTAGGTATGGGGCGCGTCTAATGCCTTCATTGGGCGAGATGGCCAGACAGTGGGCTGTAAGGAGCGCAAGGTTGCAAGTGCGGACAGATGCCAGTGGGCCTCCTCGCTACCCTCACTGTGCTCTGCTTCCGCCCACGCCCTGCTCACCCTCACCACATTCTATGCTCGCCTTCTTTCCCCCCACACCTTCCCCCCCCCACGCACCCTTCTCCCTTGCTCTCCCCCACACCCGTCCACGGCCTCTCGTTCCGCCAGGGAGCACAGCCACCTGTGCTGCCACAGCATCAGGTTCGGGCGCTGCTTCCTGCATGCCCTCGTGCTCCGCGTCCCCCCACGCCCTGCTGCACCCTCACCACACTCTAAATACCCCCCGCTCTCAATCCCCCCCCCTCTCCCCCCTTCCTACCGCTCCACCCTTCCACGGCCTGCATTCCCCAGGGAGCACAGCCACCTGTGCTGCTACGGCATCGGGTTCGGGCTGGGGTTCCGCACAGTGGCGCTGGACCCCAACTTCCGCAAGCTGCAGACCGACCTCCTCGTGCGCTCGTACCAGCGCGCGCACTCCCGGCTCATCCTGCTCGACTACGATGGCACCATGATGCCGCAGGTTGGAGGGGGTGGGGAGAGAGATGGGTTGGGTGGGGAGGGATGGGGATGGAGTAGTATGGAAGGGAAGATGCGAGGGGGTATGACTATTGGATGCACTCCCGCCATATCCTGCTCGACTACAACGGCACCATGATGCCGCAGGTTGGAGGGGATGGGGAGAGATGGGGATGAGGGTCAAGTGGAGGGATTGGGTTAGAGGGAGGGAGGAGGGGGGAGAGAAAGGGGGACATTGTTGGAAGTAGGTGCTCCTACCAGCGCACGTGTTGATCCATCTCGTTCACCACGCCCCTCCTCTCTTTTCCAATTCTCAGAAACGAACTGCTCTCATAATCCCCAATCCCTTTGCTGCCCTCTGCCCCCTGCCCCCTGCCCCCACTGCTTCGCTCCGTGTCCCCCCGCCCCCCCCTTCCCCTCCCAGGCGTCCTTCAACAAGGCGCCAGGGCAGGACGTGTTGGACGTGGTGCAGTGGCAGCTGATCTGATCCCTCTCGCCCCTCTGCTCCCCCATGCCACCCCATGGCTCCCCTGCCCCCTGTGCCACCCGTGCGCCCCATGCCCCCTCGCCCCAGACGTCCATCAACAAGACGCCAGGGCAGGACGTGCTGGACGTGGTGCAGCGGCTGAGCAGCGACCCGCGCAACACGGTGTTTGTGGTCAGCGGGCGGCGCCGCGAGAACCTGGAGGCATGGTTCCAGTCGTGCCACCGCCTGGGCCTGGCTGCGGAGCACGGCTTCTTCGTCAGGTCAGGCCTCGCCTCCCTGCTGCCACCCCGCACCCCTCGCACCTCTCACACCTCGCACTGCTAACCTCACCTCGCACTGCTAACCTCACCTCGCACTACTCACCTCGCACTACTCACCTCACCTCGCACTACGCACCTCGCTCTACTCACCTCGCACTACTCACCTCGCACTACTCACCTCGCCTCTGCCTGGCTGCGGAGCACGGCTACTTCGTCAGGTGAGGCGTCACCTGTCTCATGTCACCTGTCTCATGTCACCTGTCTCACGTCACCTGTCTCTTGTCATGTCTCGCGCCTCTCCTCTCGCCTCGCACACCTCTGCCTTTGCCAGATGAACTGCATCTCAGTGTCCCGTTACAGCCTATTCGGATGTGTGTGTGCTTTCAGGCGCCTCAAAGCGCACTGGAGCTAGACTCAGCTCCTACTTTTGCTCAAATCTATGGACCTCTAGTTGCCTGGAAGCGCGCAAGAGGTTGGCGTGTGAGTTGCAGCTGGAATTGTGCGGCCTCTTGGAGCCAACCCCAATGCTGTCTGTTCAACGCAGAGATTTTTTAGACCACTCAAAGAGCACAAGGGACCAAAACGATGCTCACCTGATGCCACAGGTCCTCGAAACCTGCCGCTCATCATTCTCCTCCCCTCTCCTGCACGCTCATCATTCCTCCCCTCATCCCACCCCCCTTCATCTGCGCCTCCTCCTCCCTGTCTCTTTCCTCCCTCCCCTTAACTGGAGCCAGTCCGCCCCCTCGCGGACCACCATCGTGCAGCAGGGCACCATATGAAAGCACGTCACCCTACCTTTCCTTTCCTTGATGCGCCAAAACATTTGACGTCTCCCCTTTCTCCCTCCCTCCCTCCCTCCCCCCTCTTCCCCTCTTCCCCTCCTCCCCCCCTCCCCTCCTCTCCTCCCCCCGTCCTCCCTTCCTCCCCTCCTCCCCTCCTCTCCTCCTCTCAGCTGGAGCCGGTCGGCCCCCTGGCAGACGACCATAGTGCAGCAGGACACCACGTGGAAGGACGCGGCGCTGCCGGTCCTGGAGCTCTATACGGAGTCAACGGACGGGTCTTATATCGAGACCAAGGAGAGCGCGCTGGTGTGGCACCACAGGGACGCGGACCCCGACTTTGGGTCGTGGCAGGCCAAGGAGCTGCTGGACCACCTGGAGAGCGTGCTGGCTAACGAGCCCGTGGTGGTCAAGGGAGGCCATCACATCGTGGAGATTAAACCGCAGGTGAGGAGTTGGGCATGTGAGGGGGGGCCGTGTGAGCGTGTGCATGTGGGGTAGCTATTGCACTGGTGCATCTGTGGCCAGAGCGTGTGACCACTGTGCGTATGTGGCGGCCTGAATGGGCTTCAGTTGTTTGCCTCCCTTGTACTCTTTTCCCCCCCACTTGCTTCCCCTCCACGCCCGTCCCTCTCCCCCCGTCCCTCCACGAACCCCCCTCCTCGCATGACGGCCTGAGTGCGCTTCACTTGCTCGCTTCCCTTCCAACCGTTTTCCTCGCCTTTTTTAGAATTCTCAAAAATCACCTCCAACCAGTTCCCCCCACCTCGCATTCCGTCCCCCCACTCCCGTCCCGTCCCCCCAGGGCGTGAGCAAGCTGTTGGTGGAGCAGCTGCTGCGGGCGTCCAAGGGTGCAGGCAAGCCAGAGTGGCCGTCACTAGGCTTCAACTGCCCGCGTCCCTTCTCCCCCCCCCCCCCACCCCCCGTCCGTCCCTCCCCTCTCCTCCCCTCCCCTCCCCTCCCGTCCCCCCAGGGCGTGAGCAAGGGGCTGGTGGTGGAGCAGCTGCTGCGGGCATCCAAGGGCGCGGGCAAGTCGCCTCCGGACTTTGTGCTGTGCGTGGGCGACGACCGGTCAGACGAGGACATGTTCGAGCGCATCAACGCCATCATGACCGCCGCGCCCTCACCCACGCCCCTCGCTGAAGTCTTCGCCTGCACGGTAACCATCGCCCTTCCTTGCCCGCTCTCTCCCTGTGCCCTGCTCTGCGCTGCTGTTCCTAGACTCGCAAAACACACAACACACCACCATGCACTAGCCCGCTCCACTCTCCTCCGCTCCTCTCTGCTCCAATCGTAGCCCTTGCCCGCTCCGCTTCTCAGTTTCTCGCCACACCATCCGACCTGCCTCACCCCTGCCCTCCTCCGGTGCCCTCCCCACCTCACCGCACCCTCCCCTCCTCCTCCCCCCCCGGCCTATGCCAGGTTGGGCAGAAGCCCAGCAAGGCGCGGTACTACCTGGACGACACGAGCGAGGTGATCAAGATGCTGCGCGGCCTCGCCAACGCTCCCTCCATGCCCTCCAATGTCCCGCAGCCCCTCGCATCGCCCACCCTCCACACACTCGCGGCCCCGCACCAGCCCCCCCACGCCGCCACAGCTGCACTCCTCGGGCCCCAGCCAGGGCTGTACACCCTGGGACCCACCGGGGGCCCTGCTTCTGTGATGGGCGCTCAGGGTTCGATGCTGGGGGGCATGATGGGGGGCGTGATGGGGGGTGCCATGATGGGGGGTTTGCCTGGAAGTGGGGTGGCAGGGGGTGTGGTGGGAGGGCTGGGAGCACTGCTGCCCCCGGCTGACAATGCGCATCTGAACTTCGGGGTGGATGAGAATGACGGGTTGTGATGTCAAATGGGCGGTTCCGTGAGGTGAGGTGAGCCGTGAGTGTGGTTTACTCCAGTACTGAGGGGGTGGGTGGTGCTGTGAGGGTGAGGAAGTGTAACAGCCACAAGTAGAGAGCTGAGGGTTCTTCCTCTTTAGGGCGCGGTTCACGTCGATCGTTTTGCCGCCTAAATGATCATGCGAGAGATTTTATCGAGCTGGAAACCAATCCAAGATAGTATTTTGCTGACGAAAACTTCACGAATTAGGGTTACTCGAGAAACAAACTGATCTGAACACCGAATTATCTACAGGAACTGTGCCCTTATTGTGCATTCTGTTGAACAAGCTAGGATAGGATAGAAGCCATGAAAATGGCGTGAGGTTTTAGGTGCTAGGAGGAAATGTCGAGGGAGGGATTGGACTAGGAGAGAGGGATACAAGAAGGGGGTTGTACCCTCTGTAGTGGATCCAGTAACACCTACCAAGCCTACAATTATATAAATATATATTTAGTATATAAATTAACACACCGCCTAGGCTTGGTAGCTGAAACCACACCACGCTCACAGCACACTAAGCCACACACCCCCTAAGCCTAGCAACCCCCATAGTCAGCAGCAGCGACGGCTTCTCGAGCATGGTCAACCCCTCGGCATGTGAGGCGGCGACGTCGGCAGCGAGGGCAGCGGCGGCAGCGTGCGGCTGCGGCTTCGACGACAGCGGCGGCGGCGGCGGAGCTCGCAGCCCTCGGCGGCGTGGCCTGACTCTGCGATGGTGGGCAGGCCCCCGCGAGTCAGCCGTCAGCTGCGGCGAGGAAGAGGGTGTTAGAATATGAGAATGACTAGAAACAAGAGAGTACAGGGGAGATATAGGGTTGGAGTTGTACTCTCTAAGAACACAAACCTATATAGCCTATAACTTCTACATGCAATATATATATGTATAAGTTGACACACCCCCTAGGCTAGATAAGGGGCAGTGCTAAGCAAGAACCATGCAGCTCAGGGTGGCACTACTAGTCCAACCTCTAAGGCAGGGGTCCGAAGACCAGTCAGCAAGAGTACAAGACAGAAAAGAGCAAACCAGGGCGGCACTACTAGTCCGACCACTGGAGGCGAAGCCACAAGGCCTGTCTGAAAGGTATATGTAAAGAGGAGTACACAATCAAGGTCCTAGCAAGTGAGTAGCTCCAGGAACTAGACCCAGCTGCAAAAAGTGCCGCTGATGATCTTTATGTGCAAGCGCCTTAGTAAAGATATTAGCTGTGTTGGCACCGGATAACATAATCAGAAAAGTGTTATTGATAGAGTGAGAGTACACACAGATATACCTAAGTCGTGTACCCTCTAAGAGATGACCCTATACAGTCTATACAAACATGACAATTACACATGTTTGACACACCCCCTAGACTGCATAGGGGAATGTCCTAAACAAGCAGCTCAAGGCGGCACTACTAGTCCAACCTCTGAGACAAGGGTCTGAGAGACCAGTCAGAAGGAGTACAGACAAGGCAAGAACAAGAGCAGGGCGGCACTACTACTCCAGCCACTGGGAGAGGACACAAGTCCAGTCTGTGTATACATATAAAGGACAGTACAAAGTCAAGGTCCTAGCAAGTGAGAGGCTACAGGAACTAGACCAAGCTGTACACAGTGCCGCTGATGATCTTTAGGCGCAAGCGCCTTCGTAAAGATATCAGCCGTCTTGGCACTTGAGGCCAAGTGTACTACGCGAGCCTGACGTCGCTGCTGTAGCTCACGCAGGAGAAAGTACCGCAGCTGAATGTGCTTCGCTCTGCCCTCAAGTCGAGGCTCCAGGCAAAGGAGGATCATGGCCCTGTTGTCAGCGAACAAGACCGGGGCAGAGCTAGGCCGCTCACCTAAGTCAGTGAGCAAGAAGGTCAGCCAGCGGAGCTCCTGTGCCGCCATGGCACCAGCGTAGATCTCAGCCTCACAGCTGGACTGAGCAACAGACGAGGAGCGGGTAGCTCTCCACGAGACGGCAGCTGAGCCAAGGCTGAAGCAGTAGCCCTGGGTAGACCTGAGTGTCTCGGCGTCGTCTGCCCACGAAGCGTCGGTATGTCCAGTAAGGACCACTGGCCTGCGTCCTCCTAGCACTAACCCCATGCCCGATGTACTAGCAAGATAACGCAGAACCCTCTTAGCGGCAGACCAGTGCTGCGGTCGGTGTCTGCCTGTGGCCACAAAACGAGCCAGGATGCTGAGAGGGTATGCGAGATCTGGGCGAGTGCAAGTCATCAGGTACATGAGGCAACCCACCAGCTCTGCGTAGGGGCCACTGGGCTCTACCAACTCCTCAGACACTGGAGCGGAGAGTCTGTGGTCTACAGGCAGAGGGGTGGGCTGTGCAGAGGAGAACTGAAGGCTGAACCTCTGAAGGACCTGGCGCACCAAGTGTGACTGAGTGAGGGTGATGGTGCGCGATGCTCTGTCCCTGGAGATCTGCAAGCCAAGGTAGCGGCGCAGTTCTCCAAGGTCAGTGCACGTGTGTCTCTTTAGCAGCTCTGCCTTCACGGAGGCCAGTGCGTCCCTGTCTGCTGTGGCAAAGACCAGGTCGTCGACGTAAACAAGGATGTAGAACGGAGTCGGCCAGCACGAACGAAGAGTGAAGGGTCTGCGGAAGACGGAAAGAACTGCAGGTCAGCAAGCGTAGCACGGAGAGTGTCGTGCCACTCACGGGGAGACTGGCGCAGGCCGTAGACGGGGCGCCGGAGGAGCCACTGGGTCCCAGGAGGGAAGGTGCCAGTAAAGCCCTGAGGGCGACGCAAGTAGACCTGCTCGTGTAGGCTGCCCTGAAGGAAGGCAGTGGAGAAGTCGAGGGAGTGAAGCTCGTAGTCACGCTGAGCAGCTATGTGTAACAGAACCCGAAGAGTAGTCATCTTCGGGGTCGGAGCGAAGGTCTGGAAGAAGTCCACCCCCTCGCGCTGACTGAAGCCTCTAGCCACATAGCGCGCCTTGAACACAGGCGCCTCTCGAGGAGGGCACTTCACCTTGAAGAGCCAGCGGCCATCGACTACGTTCACCCAAGGTGGGGGAACTGCGTCGACAAAGGTGCCGGTGGATCTCCAAGATGCCATCTCCTGTTCCATGGCAGCTATCCACTGTGAGGCCCAGGGTCCCGAAGTCGCCTCAGCGTAAGTGCGAGGGGTCGGGATGTCGAAAGCGTCTGGGTCACCCTCAGGGACTAGCAGCATGGAACAGAGATGGGGAGCAGCCTCGGAGAGGAAAGCAAGCTCGAACTGGCGGTCCTCCAGGACGTCACTGCCAAGAGCAGGAGCACCCCCGACAGACGGAGGACAGGCAGGGTCAGAGACCAGAGCTGTGGCGTAGTCAAGGCGGCGGGTAGAGGCGAAGTCAGCGACAGCAGCGACAAGGGCGTCAAGGCACGAGACCGGAACAGACGGGTCGGTAACAAGAGAGGCAAGGACCCGAGAAAAAAGGGGACGAGCGGCACGAAGGTAGTCAGACAGCGGGGGGGGTGCAACAACAAGGGAGGACGGAGGAGGCGACGGCAGAAGGGGAGGACTAGACGCGTGGGAACGAAGCAACATAGGGTGGGAGCGCAAGATAGGCGAGGCAGGACGAGCACGGGAGGGACGGTGAGACCAGACGTGCAACGGAGGAGTCGGGTCAGGAGACAGGGGAGGTGACACAAGAGGGGAACGAGGGGGGAGACAGGCCGGGGACGAGTCCGGTGGAGGGAAAACAGGGCCGTAGACAGGAAGAGGAGGAGACGGCCGGGGAGGAACAGACGCAGGGTCAGGTGAGGGAAGGCCGAGCAGGCGAAATGCTGACACCGGCGGGGACTGCTGCTGCGGCGGCGCAACGGCGACACCTGGACCGCAAGCTGCTCCTCGGGTACCACAGGCACTCTCCACACTAGCACCCCCAGAGGGGCCACCCCCAGGGCGACTGGGACGAGCACCCCCAGAGTCAGCGAACGGGGGTCGCGACGGCGGCGGCGGCGGCGGCAGCGACAACGACGGCAGCAGCGGCGGCAGAGGCGGTGGAGGAGGGGACTGGGGAGGGGACACCGGGGGAGGGGCAGCCGGCGAGGACTGCACTGGAGGGCCACCAGAGTCAGAAGACTCCTCAACCGGGTCCGCCGACGGAAGGGGGGTGACGTGGGACACACCAGAGGGGGCGGGACGGGGAGGAGGAGGAGAAGGGGCAGGGACTACCGGGGAAGGAGTGACCAGGAACAGGGGGGGGGTAACCGGGGGACCACGGTGGGGGAAGCTACGGTAGTAGGAAACGGACTCGTCAAAGGTGACGTCGCGAGAGTGAAAGAAGCGGTGAGACGGCGGGTGGTAAAAGTGCCAGTCGGACGCGTCAAGGGGAAAACCGAGGAAGACGCAGAGAAGGGTGCGGGCAGTGAGCTTGTCCGTGCCGGAGGCACGAACGTGAGCAAGGCAGCCCCAGACGTGGAACGCAGACGCGTCACCAGGAGACCCAGTCCAAAGACGGGTCGGCGAAACCTGCGGCTGCTGAGGGTGCGGCCACAAGTTAAGCTTGTGAGAAGCGTAGCGCACAGCGAACGACCACAGAAAATGGGGTGCACCGGCATGGATCATGGAGGTGCGAGCGACCTCCATGACCAAACCGATGCGTCGCTCAGCGACCCCATTCTGCTGTGGGGAGTCCGGTAGGGTGAACGTCTGGGTGATGCCCTCCGCACGACAAAAGCGACCAAGGACACCTGAGGCAAACTCGCCACCACGATCTGAGTGAAGACGCAAGACAGGAGACCGCGGTGGACACGCGCAGAGACAAGCCAGGGGATGAGAGCGCCAGGCACGTCGGCCTTGCGCTCCAGGGGAAAGACTGTGGTGTAACGAGTGAAGTCGTCGACGAGCACAAGGAAGTAGCGCTCTCGACGCGGCCCAGGGATGGGGGCGGGGCCCCAGACGTCCAGGTGCAGGGTCTGCAGCGGCGCGGCGGTAGGGGGAAACGAGGAGGAGTGAGGGGCACGGCGAAGCCGACCCTCGACACAGGGCGTGCAAGGGGGGGCGGGGGAGGAGGGAAACGCGGGGAGAGAACCGGGGAGACCAAGGACAAGACCGTGCTGGGACATGTGGCGCAGACGCGGGAGCGCAGGGTGACCTAGGCGGTGGTGCCAAAGGAGAGTCGGGTGAGTGAGAGACCGACAGGAGCAGGCAGCAGCAACCTGGGTAGACGCAGCCACCTGAGGGGGGGCCCCAGCCGGGGGGGTCACGGTGTCCAGAGTGAACAGGCCGGACACCGGGTCCCGGGGGAACGTGGACAGGGGGGCACCAGTGGCGGCCTCGGTACAGACAGCATACCGCTCGTGGCCAGGGAACGTAGTAGTGACGCCAAGGTCCTGGAAGCAGCCGACACCAACTAGGTTCCTGGAGAACGAGGGGATATGCAGACCTGTGAGAGAGCCCGAAGGAACCGCCGGACAGGGAAGGGTGGTGGAACTGC